GTTCTGAAATATTTGGCTATATTGAGGAGATATGATCTGAACTTACGTTTATGCTTATCTTCTAGGTGTCAACGAAGCTCTCAGTGCCCCATGTGCTGGCAACCTATCAGTCTCAAAGATCCTACAAGGTTTTCTTTATGCCCATTGTATTCTTCGCTTTGTTTTGATATTCTTGCCATTATTTCTTTTCATTGTTAATGTGCCTTTTCTTCTGTGTTCGCAGTCAGGAATTACTTGAAGCGGTGGAAAGAGAGAGGAACATTAGGTTGAATCCGCCTAGAAATGCCACAATATTTCATCATCCAGCTCTGGGTGATTTCGAGTTACAACATGTTTGTAGTCTGCTTATGCTAGTTTGAAACCATCACTTTAGTTTTTTTTATTATGGGTTATTTAAGATTTATTTCTCGTGCAGCTGCCCGTTGGTGCAAATGATGCTGATCTTGAAGAGCGTATCATACAGCACTTAGCTGCTGCTGCTGCAATGGGACGGGCTCGTCATATTGCTAGAAGGGAAGGTCAGAGAAACAGGTCATCAGCTCAAGGTCGGCCACATTTTTGGTATTTTCAGCCCATCCCAATTCACCTCCCATGGCTCCTGCCTCTCCAACCCATGGGGCAGATGGTGAACCAGCTTCAGCGATCACTGTTGCTACTTTATCTCCAACTCCTGCCACTGGGGAAGAGTCTTCACGGTCAACTTCTGTTCCTCTTGTTCAAGCAGACCATATCTCTGCTTCAGGATCAGGATCTACTGTTCTTGCTGCTGATAACCAGGGATCTTCTTACAACAGTAGGTAATTATCATTCTTCATTTGTTTCTGGATAATTTTCATGTTGATGAGTTCAAAACCAGAAGTAAGCCTAGTTTATTGCACAGAATCTGAATGAACCACACTATTTTTATGTTGTGAATAGTATGGTTTGTTTTAGATTTTATATTTGTTATTTATCAATAATGCAGCTATAATAATCTTGACTGTTTTATCCCAAAACTATTTATAGGAGATCACCTAGCCAGTCTTCTCCTAGCAGTCAGGACAGAGCAGGGCCATCAGAATTCCAATCATTTTCGGAATCTTTGAAGTCTAGACTAAATGCAGTTTCAACGAGGTAGTATAGAAGTGATTAGTCTATGTTGCATGCATGTGTAATGGAAATGAAGAGTTGTCCCTTGGTTTCTTAGGTTTGGATATTACTTATCACCCTTTATTTGCAGATACAAAGAGTCGATATCCAGGAGCACCAGGGGATGGAAGGAGAGATGGTTCTCTCGCAACAGCTCTATGCCTGATGTGGGATCTGAAGGTAGACAAGAGGCTAATGCAGGGATTGCAACTGTGTCACGCCTGATGGAACGACTTGATACCAGAGACAACAATAGAAATGATAGCAATCCTGCCCAAAGTCATTTAGAAGGTGGTTCGGTTGCTGAACCAAATGACCGACATATTTCAAATGCAGAAGGCGAAAGCCTGTCGAGAGATAATAACACAAAAGCATCCTTTGCGGCAGGTTCTAGTTCAAATTAAGCATTGAGCATAATTTGCTTCAATTCTAAGCTTTGCTGTGGCTGAAAGGTGAAATACTTACGTGATATGAAGCTTCTTTCATTCTTTTTATGCTAAGGTTCCTATGTGTCTTGTTTAGCATGGAAACACATATTGTATGATCTGGTTACTAATCCTCATTATTTTTTATGGTATCAGGTAGAAATAGATTGTCCTTTGCTGGATATGAAATTCTGTGAATGTGGTGTGTTGCCTTTTGGCTGGTGCAAGCCAGGCAAGTGATAATCCATTTTCCTCGCTGAAGGTGTTAGTGCTTGCCATATTTGGAATAAAGAACCTAGAAAAGATAGAAACTGGTTTAGAAATTAGGAAACTATATATGGTTGTATATTCGCCATGTAAACCTGTAGATATTTCTCACAGTACCCGCCATAAAGTACTGTGCTTCTGCTAGTGATGGATTCGCTGTTTTCCAACCTTGGGGGCATGGAGTCTTTTGCTGAGAATTCTGTTACTTTCATGTGAATGTTATTAAATGCAATTCTGTTTGGACAGCTTGCGACCTTACCAGTGTCTTCTGTTGTCACCACCTGTCCTCCAATGTGAATAGTCATCGCAGATATGCAAAATGTTCTTGGAAACTCAAACCATAACGGATTTGGGCATGCAGCAGTCAAATTTAGTTTTCACAATTGCATGAAACGCAGGCTTATGATAGCTGATCATTCTTCTCAAGTATGCTACCCGCAGGATTAATTAATGACGTGAGATTTTGACGGGCTTTTGCTGTGTGATATTGAATACTTAAATTTTTGTTATCTAGCGAACCGTTATTTAGTATTATGGAGAAAAGTCCATCACAGACAGTAATAAAGCTGATACCGTGTTTTTCCCAATAACTTGACTGTCGGGACCATAGGCCCTTGGTTTCTTCCTCTTTTGGGGTGGGTGAGCTGTTAAAAATTACTCCTCTGGTGCGAGGCTTGTTTTATATTTTATATCGTAAATTATACTATAAAATTAGTCTTATTAGGAATAAAAGAGTACTACATTAAAACGCACGCATGTTTTTTTTTCCCGTAATGGGCGCACGCCTCCTATTTAATCGGGTAGTTCAAACGCACAACCTCGTGGTATTAGGAACGAGACAATGCCCCACGAGCAGCTGAGCCGAAGGCTCGTCCAATTTCTTTATCGATTGAATCTGCCCATTTCGATGCTTTTTTTTTTTTTTTGACTGAACGTTTCGATGCCCTTTAAGTGTTGGTCAATTAACATGCTTCTAATATAATAACCCTAATCCCACAATAATTTACTTACTTCTCGCATGGTTATTATTATCTTTCATCATTCTGGTACTTTTTCTATGCTTAACTTGTACACAGCTCTCTATCACATTTTTAAAAAATCCATCCTCTATTTTTAATTGAAAAATAAACAATGCTTTACGCCGACCAAGTAACAGAAGATGAATTATGATTGCATATATTTCGATTCAAATATTTTTATATCTATCATTTATATAACATGACAAATACTAAACACACGCGTATGGTTTGATTAATTTTAATTTTGACTTGACAATTTTTGCATGTTTTGGTTATAAAAACGCGATTTCGTAATTTCAAAAAATGTTTTTGTTGAAAAAATGGGCTATTTACTTTATTGTCGACTTGCCTTGAAACGAAAGCTCCTTTATTTTGTCATGTGCTTAATCGATTGTTAAAAGGTAGAAACAATTTTTCTGAGCTCAAGGTGAGACCCTCTTTCTTCTGTGCCTCAAACTATTCACATCATGGTCTACTCCTAATTAAAGGTGTTGCTTTCTTGCTTTTGGGATAAAGAACTTCGTAAAATCAACTTACCAAATAAGTCCGACGTGGTTATCTTCTAATGCACATGAGGCAAGCATCTTCCCCGGTTGACATCAACATAATCAAGGAAAAAAATTTCTCCCACAAGAAAGAGAAGCCCTAAAACATGTTAAAAAAACAGACGAGACGTCCATTCTCCTGTACATCCGAGACAAACATGTTGAGATCATGAACAATGACCAGAGAAGGGAAAACAAAAAGGGCCAAAGCACACTGGTTTTGACGAAATCTTCTGCATCATGACAAAGTGGATTGGATGTATATAGTCCACAATACCCTTTCTTTAAAGGGGTCGCAACTCTCTTTTAAAAGGGTGTTTCAGTCAATTCGGATTGTTTACAATATATTGATTCATGCCAACTACTTAAAAAGATTCGAAGACCAAATATCATAATAATCCGTATGGAAGTGATGGTTTAGTGTCACCGACAAATGTGTGAGAGGGAGTGAGGGCTAAGCCAGGTTTAGTTTCTTGGGGCACACAGCAAGACAAACAACAATACCATAATGTAATACTTTCCTGAAGCTCCATACCTGTACCTAACTGTTGAGGGATACACAGTACCAAACTCTTTTAATATTTAAGCCAAAACTGCCCATAACTTAATAATAATGGATGATTCTTCTTATGCAAACGCCTGCCTGTTCTCGGAATTTCGTCTCCAGTCACTCCCACTTGTCCTTTTATGTATTAATGTGTTCTCTAATCAATGAGATGCTATTACTCCAGAGGATTCTGGCAAGTGGTATCGCAATCTCCATGTTAAATTGCTCTTTGGTGGCTAAATTGCTTTCACCAAACAAATTCTTGAAATTAGTATGGAAATTATAGTGGGAGGCTAAAAATATTTGCATTTGGATTTGCAGCGTCCAAGACCAAAGCTCTGACGTGACTTGTTAGAGTCAACTAAAACGAAGGTGCATTTTGTGAAAAGGAGGGTGGTGTGTTTTGGGTGGGACAGAGAGGACAGAAACAGCTAGCATGTGGCACAAAGTAAGCAGAGGAGAACCCAAAGCCGAAGCGGGCTCCACTCTTGGATTTATTATTTCTATATTTGTGACCATGATTTATTAACTGTATATTTGTGATCGTGATTTATTAATTGGTAAACAATCAATAATAGTATCAATCAGTATGATGGGATGACATACAAAGACTCTTGTGAATGAATAATAAGGTGGAAAAAAAGGCTTCTTTTATACATGCTCTAAATATTACAAATTTTTCATGGATACTATGTGCACAATTTTTATGTAATGACGTTTTCTTAATTAAAGAAAATGATATAGCTTAAAGGAATCAATATCAACAAATGAGCAGTCAATGTGATTTCTCAGAATTTAGATAATGGGAAAATGTTTTAACTTTGGATGATAGCATAATACAGTAAGAAATTGGGACAGTTTGGATTTTCCGTGTTGATAATATCTGCCGTTTCGCCTAACGGACAAGTAGATCCCCATGCATGCTGATTATGGGGTATTAACATCTTCCTTTCTCCAGCCTCGCACTGTTATTTAAAAAAAAAAAAAAAACAGAAACAGTGTCTGAGTTTTAGTATATACGTATACCCACCAACTTCACAACGCAACCCAATTACCCAAGTAGTCTCTCTCTCTCTCCCCCGCGCTGTGCTGTCTAACTCTCTCTCAAGCCTCAGCTCTTCCATTCCGCCGCATTCCCTCAAGTCGCCATGGTTTGTCGCATCTATGGCGTTGCCAAGCTCCGGATCTTCCTTCTTCTTCTTCTTTTTGGCTTCCCCCTTGCGTTGTCGGAAATGCCAAATACCAGGTCGTCGGTCAGCTCTGGTCAGATAAACTCCAACTCGGTTCTGGTGGCTCTTCTGGACTCGCATTATACGGAACTCGCTGAGCTTGTGGAGAAGGCTATGCTCTTGCAGACTCTGGAGGATACTGTCGGCAGCCACAATATCACCATCTTCGCGCCCAGAAATGAAGCTCTCGAACGCGATCTTGACCCGGAGTTCAAGCGCTTCCTTCTTGAACCCGGTAATCTCAAGTCTCTCCAGACCTTACTCATGTTCCATATCATTCCTACCAGAATAGGATCGGAGCAGCTTCTGACTCGGACCGGGTTGACCCGTCACGATACGCTTTCCAATGACCATCTACATCTTGAGAACAATGGGACTGCAGAATGGACGGTGGATCGCGCCAAGATTATCCAACCTGATGCGGTGACCCGACCCGATGGCGTCATCCACGGGATTGAGCGCCTCTTGGTGCCACAGTCCGTGCAAGACGACTTCAACCGCCGGCGAAGCCTCCAGTCTATCACGGCAGTGAAGCCAGAGGGAGCACCGGAAGTGGACCCGAGGACTCATCGGCTGAAGAAACCTGCCCCACCGGCGAAACCCGGTTCTCCTCCTGCTTTGCCAATCTACGATGCAATGGCTCCTGGTCCTGCACTAGCTCCTGCTCCAGCGCCGGGACCAGGCGGAGCTCACCACCACTTCAATGGTGAAGCCCAGGTGAAGGATTTTATTCAGACACTGCTCCATTACGGCGGGTACAATGAAATGGCAGATATATTGGTGAATCTAACATCCTTAGCCACTGAAATGGGTCGACTAGTCTCCGAGGGGTACGTGCTCACCGTTTTGGCTCCCAATGATGAGGCCATGGCTAAATTGACTACCGACCAATTGAGTGAACCAGGTGCACCGGAACAGATTATCTATTACCATCTTATACCGGAGTATCAAACCGAAGAGAGTATGTACAATGCAGTCCGACGGTTTGGTAAGGTCCGGTATGATACCCTACGGTTGCCGCATAAGGTGGTGGCTCAAGAGGCAGATGGATCAGTGAAATTCGGGCAGGGAGACGGGTCGGCGTATTTGTTCGACCCGGATATCTATACGGATGGGCGGATCTCGGTTCAGGGCATCGATAACGTATTATTCCCACTGGAGGAGGAGACGAAGCCCATTAACAGGACGGTTCAACCCGCTAAGGTCGTTGTCAAGCACAGAAGAGGTGCGTTGCCTTTTCTTCAAAATTATTTTTAAATAATCATGAACATTGTTATATTACTTTTTTCTCACAAGATCGAAAAGAAATAGTTGATGAATGATGATGATGAGTGCATTCGGTGTATTTTTGTTTGGTTAATTATTGACAAGCAAAGGGAATGTTACTTCTTAGTTAAGAATGGGGACCAATGTATCGAATTGAAAAGACGATTTATGAACTGAAAAGGAAAATCCAAGGCTACCTCCGTACTATCTGCTTTGAACTAGAAGAGCGAGGAGGATAGGAGATAAAGCCCTTCCAACATAATATTTCTGCGTTTTAAATTTAGATATGTTTTTATGTCTTTTACATGTAGAATTTCAATAAGAACACATGATTTTCAACAATTGGAGATGCTCAGTTCTTCTCAAAATACATAATATTAATATTACAAGTTTGAGTAAAAAGACTAACGGAGCATCAATTTTTATTAACGGTTAGCTTTCTTGTCAATAACTTGTAATGGTATGCATATCGTATAATATCTGTATGCATGGATATTCAAAATTCAAATTACTTGATACGAGAGATTAGTGTGCGCCGTGACTTGGACAATCTTTACAGAGTAGTGCAGTTGAAATTATGGCGGGTGCTGATTTTGTTTTGCTTTTATTAATTCAAAATTAGCTTTCCGGTAATGTTTCATATGAAATATCGAGTACTTTATTGATGACGACATTGGGCGTGCTTTCAAGGAAAACTGGCCTACCAGATGAACGCGGATAGCTGGCCAATCTGTTAAAGCTCTACTTCTCCAACTCAAAATGAATCTGATGTTTACTTCAATATCTCATGACTTTGTCAATATTCAAATCTTGCTTCTTAAGCAAAAACCTTGTTAGCACAACCTTGGTTGTCCGGACGACTTATCATATCTAAATAATTTTTAATATCTCTCTTCACATGGCCATTCACACGAAGTTCTTAAATTTGGTTGGTTGATCAAATACAAGTGATTCTTAATAACAAATAGTTTCTTTAATAGCGTTCCATGTGGTTTCTCTTTAAGCTCAAGTTAGCATGAAATGGCAGGAAAATTGCTGGAGGCAGCGTGCTGGGTGCTTGGAACCATTGGACAACATGGTAGATTTACCCCTTGCCACTGAAAGTCCTCATCATCCTTTTCCAAGCAAGAATTTTAAAAATTAGTAAGATTCTGAATTACTATCTCTTGTTCTCTAATAACTTGATAATTTTCTCGACACTCTTTACGACTAGTAACTTTCTCCTCTTTTTGTTGCTCGGCGTTTCTTGTAGCACACCCAAGCTGCTCAATATTTGTGAAAATTCCATAGATGTAAAAAGCCATGGAATATGGACGCAGCACACTTGAATGAAGAAGAGTTGCATTAATTTTTTACACTTCCAGTTTCCATAGCCCTATTATATAAGATAGTGCATATCACGTGTATCTAGATTTATTATTTCAACAATTTGTTAGGTAGATTGTGTTGTTGGGGAAGGTTCGGCCATTTGTGTGAGGGGCTTCTTACTGTTGATAAGTGCGAATTCAATAAGCACTTTTACGGAAGAAATGGAAATACAATAAAAATTATTCTTTGATTTAATGACTCGCGGTTCTTTCATGTTAAGCACTCGGATTTTCTTTTACATTACCTATTATCTAATGATCATTAATTAGAGTAAAACAATAAATAGCAAGTGCGATAGTCCAATATTTATAAAGTAAGGGTTTTTTAAGATTTTAAGAGATAAGGCTTTTATCCTGAAATTTTCGTTCTATGATCTCTCAATTTACATGTTCCGTCATATTTAAATGTACATAATTTTAAAAAAAAAAAAACCATTTAACCTGAGACATAGTCTGGATAGGTTGGTTAGGTTGACCTGGTTTGCTTTTATATAAACCGAGTAAGAAAAAAATAAAGGTATTACTTTGATCATTCAAGTGGTTGGATCAACTTGATTTAGTTCCATGGAAGCACTTGGAGAAAGCAACGAAGGACTGCATATGGGTAAGAAATGAGACAACAACGTTCAACATGTTCTGCGACCAAGATATGGAATCACTCGACTAGTTAAAAGTGTAAAGATGCATCATAAGTTACTTATTCAATGATCAATGAACCATTGCATAATTTGCATTGGCATGAATGAAATCAATTCTCAATTCTGCAGAAATTCCAACAAAAGTTGCAGAAAGAACCCCGAAGCCAAGTGCTTTAAGACCTTCCTTCACTCTTCTTTTGCCACCATTCCAAGAACTTGGCTTGTGCAGCCACTGTGTCCAGTCTGTAAAGTTGAAATGCGTGATTTGCAATTTCATGTCCGAATGTGAATCCAAATACACCTCCAGCCAGAAAAGACAGTGCCGCACCTGTTCAATGTAGTAGGGAAAATAAATGTAAAATATTAACATGCACAAATGTATCAATTGTCAGTTAACTCATGATAGAGCCACATGAGTTTTGCTTAGATAGTAGCTTTGAAGTCGGTTGTAGGTAGCGATTAAGGGTTCAAAACCTCCTAATGCGACCAAAAAGGGGTTTCTTACCACACAAAAAGTTAACTCATGCCAGAAATCTGTATAAAAATGTCCTGCTCCCTTTCATGAAACTAGCTTCTTCAATATTGCCAGTGTCAAAATGAGCAGGCAAGATAGACATTCTCTTCTACTCGTAAAAATAAGATAATCAAGCTGATATCTGTCCAAAATGGCACTGTCGCAAGAAAAATTGGCTATACTGCGAGGAACAGTGGATTACCATGAGGACTCCGTGAATATCTATAGGCAAAACCTGCAGTAGATACTGCTCCGAGAACACTTCCTGTAAGGCTTAGTTTCGCTGCTTCTCTAGCAGTTCTCAGCTGAAACAAAGAAATAATTTAACTTTAGAACTCATTTAATTTGCAGTTCAAACACAAAAGAAACCACATGTTGAAGCCGGAAAACTCTATTCCAAAACAAGGAAAAAGAACAAAACAAACATTGCACAATAATCATTCATTCATCCATGACGCTTCAATTTTTGCTTCGCTAAAACTCAATTATGCTAGTTTTCAGCTAAGACACGTTATAAAGACAACGATCTCCAACAAGAACAATGGCAGCCGATTTTTTTTTTTTCCATCGTCCATGCTCTAAAGCTTATATTTCTTGATTTTGGAAGAGAAAGTCAATTGTCAGGAGGGTTGGCACTGATGTCTGAAAGCACGTTCAATTCTTTGATCCCCCCTGATTATAAGAATTACACTGAAAAAGGATAGGTGGATGGTGACATACTGTCGCTATGGTAGAACACAGTGCAATACAACTACAGTCGAACTATTTTGGTGACCAGATAATGAGTTGGTTTCTATTTCCAATGATGATTATGCATGTTAGAAAGTCATCTAATCATGGATTGAGAGGAGATCATGTCCACTATCATAGCTCGTCTGATGCAGCGTTTCAAAGTTGGAACTCCCGAAGGAAAACAATAGCACTAGTTTGTCAAACAAAATTTCTCATAATATGATTCCACTGCAGGACAGAGTTAATGCTCGACTCATAACATGAAGTAACATTAGCAAGTTCCAACGTGATCAATTCAAAGCATGCATCAGAATGCATGAACTATGCTGCATGCAGCAGTAACTATATATGCAACCTGTATGCTTGACACAGCTAGTTCTGACGACATCAAATTGTAAATGGCTGCAAATTTGCGCCAGGACTATTCATCCAATCGATACATTCACATTTCACCTGCTTCATAGATCATGCTCATTAAGCCTTAGATTCAGGAAACATTAATTGAAACGAAGAGATTTGCCAAAGAAATCCCAAACACCAATTCTACTTGTAAATTCAGAAGTGAGACTTTGTGGCTTGACAAGGAGCAGAGAATATTGTGAAGGATAAGGATAAGAATAAACGGGACATTATCTAAAATGAAGCGGAAAAAAAAAATCGAAATATTACGACGGGTCCATGAATAGGATCAGAAGCCATGAATTCCTCGACATCAGAGCTAGACCAAGACGGGAGGAGATGATCGGGCTGGATGAACCTGGAGTAGTCGTTGAGAAACGAGAACCTCTCAGACCAAAACTCTTTGAAGCCTTCCCAATGCCCACCGAGAAAGGATTGCGATGAAGGACGTTCCGCCTCCTCTTCCATTTGCTGCCTTGTTGAATCGATCAAGCTCCAGCCGTTCCACTCCGGGAGAGAATATGTTGTATAATTCCTAATTTTAATTTCTTGATTTAATGTTTTAAACTTTAGAAATACAGCCAAAAAATATCAAAATTTGCAATTTGAATATTTTACACTTATTTTAAAACATTTTGATGAATGCATTTTAAGTTAAAATTATTGATTTAATAAAAATTGAATAGAGTTTTCGTTGCTGTATAAATTACATTACGAGCGCAAATTGTATAGGTTTTTTTTAATTGAGTTTATGTAGTAATTTTTGTATCTGTACATATTGCACGGGCTGATCTCTTTTAATCATATGATATTGATTACTGATATTGATGATTTGTCGTCTAATTATTTTGACACACATTTAAAATTAATTTTTCTGTTCTCTAGGGTGAAAAACGCTATAAAATAAAAGTTATTTGGGCTTAGGTCACGATTTTTTAAGAGGTCCACAGATTTAAGGCCCAAAGTTTACAAGGCCTTTGCGCTGACGCTAGACCCATTTGAACCAGGCCTAAAAGGGAGACTTATTTAAACAGTAGAAAACACTTCAATGTTGGTTTTGCATGAACAGACCAAAAATACAACTGGTGGCGGAAAAATAAAATAAACTAACGTTTCATCATGACCAGTTTTTTTGTTTTGGTAAAAAGGAAAAAAATTAACGTACTTTTTTGTTTGCCAACGGAAAAAATTAACGTAGTACTCGAATAGAAAACTATGACACACAATATAAGCTATCTTAATCACGGCTTGGGAGGAGGGAAACGAGTCTTTCAATTTTGAAAATTTGACGACTGAATATTTCATTTTCTTGTCGTGGGTATCATTTTATAGCAGCTATTTAAGAATAATTATATTTATATCACTTTTTGTAATGACTAACGAAAGATGGAACCTGAAAGGAATGGAAATGGAGGGCTCAGCAACGATATATAGAAGATAGGGCTCGAAGTACATGAAAGATCGTCCATCCAGCTACCAGCATATGTTTCCAACAGAAAATATATAGGAGTCGAAGAATCATGATGTTTGTGAGCTTTCGGCGATTGTATTTGATATCAGTATGTGTATAATCTCTAACAAACATCACTCTTCATAATTAATGAAACGAATAGCGCGGCTCTTTTTCTTTTTCTACTTTTATTAAAGGATTCATATTTAGCTTTATAAATGGATGGATGGATTTGTTAGGTATGTGATTGGCCTTTCTCTGACTCCCTGGGACCTGTTTGGGAGGGCATAAGAAATTACTCATAATCACGTTTATATAAGTCGAGACAAAACTCTTTGTCTTATATACTGTAAATCACTATTAAAAAACTATTTATAAGCCGTTCTAAATGGGTAATTAATTATTCCTCCAAATCCATCATCTATTTGTCTAGCTAGTGAACAGTTTTTCTGTCTTGCCTTCCACATCAAAGGGCCTGACGAAAAGGATTCAGCTTTAAGTGTTCACAAAACGCCCGCGACTTTCATTCCATAATAAACACAGGCAGGCGCAGGCAGGCAGGCATGCGTCCGTTTTAATTTATGAGTGTCTCAGGATTCTTGCATTTGATTTGACTCATTTCTTACGTATGCTGGAACCAAGTCATATCAACTTCTCGATCCACAACTTGTGCTTTTGGTCCTTTTTTCCAGGGAAGTTTGAACCCTTGACTTATCCTATATGTCTCAGCCTATCCTTGCTAGTCTAAGTAGCTAGCTACAACTTTTAATTTCGGTCTTTAATTTGGCATATTTGTGTGGAAAATTGGAATTTTGTAGCCTGAGCCATCCTGAATCAGTGGGAACTTTAATTACTCAAATTCCCAAATTGTTTGTAGAGGAAAAGCACGATATATTCCATGGTGCAATTTTATATACTACACTATGATGTTTTTAATCCTCTTCACTCACAGAATAACTTCATAATTATAGTTCTTCTTCAACGGCAGGACGAGAGACTTTAATTACTGTAGCAAATGATGGTTAGAATGTTAGTTAGGTGGGAAGGGAATGATAAAACCATTAAGGGGAGCATGCGGATGGAGGAAACATGGAGATCCGTGCATTGATATATTATTGCACTTGCCTTTGCCCTCGTGCCTCGTTCTAGGCTCTGCCGGTAACATTTAAAGTGCTGCATGGTCAAATTTTCATCCCCTCTTTTTCTTTGCCAGAACCAGAATCTCACCCTCTCACTCTAATCATTGGAATTTTCTACCCCTTTTCAGATTTTTCTGATATCATTCCTTTTCTAAACTTTCATCACTAATCAAATTGGTTTAAATAATTCTTGAAAGTTTATTTCAGCCAAAAGAAAAGTTCAATCTATATATATAGTTAATATAATTTTTAATCTTTTAAATTTATCCTCGTTTTAGTTTTAGTTCTTCAAATTTTTTTATTTAATCTAATAAAAATTGAGAACATTTTACTCCTTGAAGAACTACAACCTGAATTCCAAATATCAAAATTAAAACAAGAACAAATTTGATGAATCAAAAATTATATTAACCCATGTATATATTGTATGTGTTATAAGTCCAATTATATATGTCATTTTCAATAGCATGTAATTATTTCTCATACATAACTATAACTATAGTTTCGTTGACGAAGACTTGAAAAGCATGGATATTATACACCACCAAATTAAAGCAAGCAATCTAGCTGACTTGATTTGCAAGGCACACTTTGCGACGGAAGGGTACATGCCTTAACGCAATTAGCGAGCTGATATAACAATACTAACGCGTTCTTGTGATAAGCATGATTTGATGTTCAGTCCAAGGCTGCTGTGAATTAAATAATAACACTCTAATCATTGTGGTTTTGATTATGATTTGAACGCATGGAGTGTCAAATTATAAACAAGACATGTTGACTTTAATATTACTATTACATGTCCCATGACCTCATGACCCGGGGAAAAGTTAATAATTAATATGTTGAATGAAATTCTCCATCCGTAGCAATATTTTATCAATTGGGGATCAGTGCTAAAGGCATCGTTGACCACATTGGACGAAACCCAAATGGATTTTTGAACTGTTTTGATGCTGTTGGATGCAGTTAGGGGGGGGATCAACCTTTTTGTTAGGTTGGGACATATACAGTCATTTTTTTATAATTGAAGCTATAATTAATGCTAAGATTAAAACTTTTAAAGGATACTCTTTTGGTCTTATTTATATGGTAGAAAAAGAAAGTTTTTTTATTCTTATTTATAAGTTATTTTATTAAATTTTTTACTATGAATATATTATATTGTTCTTTATTTATTATAGTGCAGATAATTATTTTTTTAAAGGTGTATATATATTAAACAAGAGTAAAGTTAGAAAGTTGCTATATTTTAATAAAGAGTTAATGTAATTTAAGTTTTTATTAGTTTGTGTAAAAAATATTGAAAGGACTATAAGGCTAAAAGAGTATTTTTATCCTATTCAATTTCAAATTAATTAAAAATTTCGAATTTAAATAATTAAAACCTTAGTACCGTGATTAGCACGAGTTGGCACTGGCAGACAGATGCTAGAGCTTAGATGTGGATAGTGGGTCCCAGATATGGGTACAGGTGGCATGCACCTATTTCTGACCATTGATGACGTGTTTTGCTCATATCTCTGCATCTCATCTCTCCCTCCCTCTCTTCCCGGGAGATCCGTCCCCACCGGCGCTAACCACACCTCCGCTCGTTTCTCCTCCTGAAATATCAACCCTTTTCATTTCTTTTCTCTTTTAGTGCTTTCCCAAGCAAGAAAAATTACGCCTTTCATTCATTTGTTTATCTTTTTGGGGGATTGTTCTGTGAAATCAATTTTCTTCTGGGAAGGTATTAATTAAATTTTCTGCAACGGAGACTGCCTCTGGGAATTAGCCCGGCTTTCTCAGGAATATTCTCATACGGTTGTTTCTGTTGGGGTTTTCATTATAGTCGTTCGGCTTGTTCATGTCATCACCACCGCCGGCGAGTCTTGTAACGTCGTGGACTTCCGCTTCTTCTCTCTTCCGAAATCTCTAAACTCTGTGGTGGCCGGCACGGTAGCCGGGGATGTGGCCGTCGCCAGCCGATCTGCGGCGCGACAGGTGTTTACTCGAGTAAAGAGTGGAGCGAGATATATATTCAAAATGAAACTGTTAAAATATATATATATATATCACAAAGTGACAGGACGTAAAAAGTTACCACTATTTATGGGCTTTTATCTATCTCTTTTCGTTTTCGTGAAAATAAACTGTCGCGTATCTGATTTGCGAGGAAAACTTGCGTTTCACTATTTTCTCAAACAAATGACAGAATAAAAGAGAAGAATAGTACTCCTCCGGTCCTTATTATAAGACTCAATTTGACTTTTTATTTGGTCCTAATTATAAGACCCAATCCATTTTCTCTCTTATATTTATGCATTTTTTCCAAGATAATCCTTCTAATAATGATAGTTTTAGCCAATATATTTAATTAGCAAGGATATTTTAGGAATAATAACACTTATTTATTATAAATAACCAACTTAACTTACTTCCTTAATCTCCTCAAATAAGTCAATTAGGTCTTATAATTAGAACCGGAGGAGTAATATATAGTTGCTCTAGCAAGTCGTGGTTGATGTGGATTTAGGGAGGGACTATGTGGCACAACTAGGTTTTAGCTGTTAGGGCTGAAGTCCACATGTCTCTATTAATGGAACCCTGTTCACAGCCGCCTCATCAGCTATGTTTTGATTTTATTTTGATTTCGATTCGATTTGCCACTTCCTAAATAAAATATTCACTTCATTTAAAAAAAAAAAATCAAGAATACACAATGCTAAAGGTTAACTTTATATATTATAAAGTAAAAAAAAAGTTATATTACGGGTAAACAATGAATCCTCTGACTCCTCAATTTTATTTTATTTTTTCCTTCATTTTTATTGAGTTCAATTCAATTCTTTAATTTTATTTTATGTTCTTATTCTTTCTCTTATTTAATTTGTACCTGGTCCTTTAACTTTATTTCGACGTTTCAGTTCCGTTTCTTAATTTTAATCCATTAGAACCCGATCTCTTATCTTCTACTTTACCTTATTTTATTTCAATTTGATTTTTTATTTTCTAAAACTAGTTAGTTTTTTATTTTTATACGTCTGTCAGAGCTTCCTTTTGAAAGTTTGATTTATTACATATTCTCTCATAAACTGAGATGATTGTTCATTGTAATAATTAAGTGGAATTTGTCTTCACTTCTGCTTTTCTCAAGTGACGCTGATAACTGGCCTATGTTTTCTTGTTCGGTGGTCTTAAATCACAATTTGGGTGTAGAGAGAGAAAACAATGCAGTCCCAAATCAAAAGGTCACTCGTCTTCTTTTTTTTCTTCTTTTTGACCTGAAAAGGTCACTCCTCTTCTTCGCCCAAGCCTCCTTCCTTATAGACGAACTCGGAAATCTGAAACTCATGGCGCCCAATAGAGCACATGAAGAGAATTTAGGGTTTTAATGATCGATCCAACTCTGTCTCCAACAGAACTCTTTCTCATCTTTAATTTGTGTGGGCATGCGTACGCGCGCGCGCACACACTGAGTTACAACACGTAAAGCACCATTTTCCGATGGGATCTGTACTGTGATCGCCACTTAAAAACAACGAAGCTCCCAGTATCAAAAGAACAGAAAAGAAAAGGCAGCAGAAGGAAAAAAAAAGTTTCATATAGCACAAAAGCTCCATTCATCTTTGTCTTTAATTTGGGTTATATCCTTTGGTTCTACTTTATCTCTTCCATATACGAACGTACATAAATAATGAAGTACCCCCCAATCACATTCACTCCTCGCAATTTAGCGTATATATGCTTCCAAAGATAATCGTCAAAATAACAGTACAAAACGTGACAAATGGAGGTGGCTGAGCAGTGGCTTCACAGTATTATGGCGATATATCAGTAGATCTGTGGACTATGGATTTGCCTGCTGCTTGTGATTAATTATTTAGTTGTTTGTAACCCGGAAGAGTGTAAACTACAGGAAAAAGAAAAGGAAAGGAAGAGAAAACCAAAACCTATTTGCGTCCTCATAATGAGGAATCCCACGTGAGAAGAGAAGGAAATAGTACACATTGTTATAAAAGGAGGATGTCTCGTCAGTCATCACTGAGTAAACAGGAGAGGATAGATGATAGATAGATACTCTTTTGTATACAGAAATGGACAAAAGTTAATTTCCGTTGTTTGCTATTTCAAGTCCCTTTAGCGCCATGGCTTGGTAACACCTTTATACTGCCCTTTTGCCTGTGTTGACTTAATTTTTACGTAATCAGCATTTACTAAAGCTCTTCATTAATTTGCATGATTTTGACGATCTAATTTTGGAAGAACTTCTTCTTCTGAACACCTACGGGCCACGGTGTATATGTATAATTCACCTGTTTTTGACTTTTCATCATCTATTTATTTTAAACATTTCGTTCAAAATTAATAAGTTTTTTTTATAAAATAATTAATGTACGCAGAGGATCATGATGAAGAGGTGACAATAAGCAGTGGAGGGAGTACAAGGTTACGTAACATGATGAAGAGGTGACAATTAATGTTAACAATTTTACATAAGTTAACGAAATCAATTAAAACTGAGTTAGTCTTTAAAATTTTAATATTACTCTACTGATCTATCAGTGAATTTTGTTAATTAGAGGTGGTTGTTGAATCAATAAAGGCAAAAAGACATTTTGGGAAACAAAATAAATGTTTTTGATCCAAGTAAACTACGTACTATTTAATTAGTTACTCCGATAAAAATGATTCAAATTTTGTTTCTTTTCATATTGGGGGGAAAACTTCTTTGAGGAACCCCCCCCCCAAAAAAAAATTCTGCTGATTAGTGTAGACGACGGGCCAATATATGCTACCAGATAGTACAATTTCAGAATGAATGAAAGGACAACTGATTTTTATGTCAAGAACTTGGATAAATATAAGCCGAGTTTAATTTTTCGAGCACTTTTATAAAGTAAGATTTAATTAGTAAAGCCAGCCTTCTATAGTATTCCATATTTTTTGTGGTACATGGGAAGCGAAAAGGAGAGACGAAAAGAAGAGTAATTAAAGGAACTCTCCCTAAAGGAGAGGCGTCACATTGGAGGTAGACACACTGTCCCAGAGAAAACAAAAACATAGGCTTTTTTGATAGCTCAAATAATTGACCAAATCTTAAAATTACTGGGGACATATCTGCAATTTACCGGTGCTTCCTGGGCCTAAATTTAAAATTCAATTAATGAATTAACGAAAATTAAAAAAAATTAGTTACTATTAAATAAAAAAAATGTTCTTCTTCCTTATAATACTGTTCCTTTGGTCCTTAATATAGGATCTAATTCAATAGTTGATATTAGTTTTATATGTAAGACCCATTTCATAAGTTTATTAATTTTTTTTAAATTAATTCTATTGATATTTTTCCAACAATAATCAAATAAGAGAAGGATGAAAGAAATTAAAGAAGATGCTTAGAGTCTTTTAGAAGTAGCATATTATATTAACTAATTTAACTAATATTATTGATTTACTTAAATGAGTTAATTAGATTATACAGTAAGGATTGGAGGATTTTTTTGTTGTTGAGAATACTGGATATGTAATAAATGTGAGGATATAGAAAATAAAAAAGCTAATACTAATGAGATGAAACTAAACAAGTCTATATTTAGAATTAAAACAAATTTCTTACCCCAAGTGTTAAATTTGGTGGTGAGGAGTAAACTGAAACAAGGAAAACCAGTCCCCTCTTGGAAAGACACAAAATTGTAACTAAGTGAACCCCATGTATAAAGCTTCATCCCATGAGCTCGTTATAATTAAAATCTGTCTTCTCTTTCTATCACTTATTTCTAAACATTCCAAGTATTAACATCTCGCCCCCCTCGTCCGCTACACAAGGCCAGAATAGTTAGGGAGATGGGTTGCTCCTGCCCACTCATTCTCTCAATCATCACTCTTCATCTTTGCCCACTCTCTTCTTCTTTGTCTTTCACCCACACGCGCACATACCCATCAAATTAGATCAATTAAATTCCATAAATTCCTTCTTTTCTTCATAAACCAATACCATTTAACCCCACTTCACTTCCGTTCACTGGTTTTTCCCGACCAGACTAGTCCCATCCTCGCCTTTGAGATTTTTGTCACTTCTCTCCTTCTCTCTCCTCATAAACTAAAGTTCCTTCCTTTTCCCCCCTCATTAAAGAATCATTTTCCTATATCTTTAATTGTATTTGTTCTGCGTCTTCTCTGTAAATTCTTGATCCTGCTCACTTTTCTTTGGGCAAAGGAATTCTCCCCCGTGATCTGCCTATAAATCTACTAAGCTGCTCATCATATACACGCACAGAGGACAACGTCACACAATTAAAAAAGAAACTAAGGTCAATGGATATGATGGCAACCGAACGTGTTTGTTATGTTCACTGCAACTTCTGCAACACCATCCTAGCGGTACACCCCTGAATTCTGTTTATCTCTTTCTTTTCCCTATTTATCTTAAGCTTTTTGTTTTGCTTTGCCTTTCATCAGTTGATTTGGCAATCCAGATTTTATACCTTTTCCTTTATATCGAGATCGCCAGAGAGAGCAAGTAGATAAAGGAAAAGCTGCTGCTTTGAGGGTACCCAAATTTATAAAAGCTAAATTCATCGTCTCAGAAGACCTGATGATCGATCAGAATGCTTATAATTATGAATGGATGAAAATTATTCAACTGTTGCAACGCAACTATTACCCCAATTTTTATTACAAAGCAAAGCCTGTGTGTGCTGTTGTGCTTCACTTTCCCTTGGAATTCGAATCCATCACTCAAGTCACTTTCTTGGGTACTACCATGAAGTTTAGACCAAATAATTCTATTCCTTTCTATATTTTATGTTAAACTGGGTTTTGCACTTTGGTTCATGAGCTCAGTAATATGCCAAGAACTTCATCTGGGGAAAGACTTTGGTTAAAGAGGAAGTTACATAACAGTCCCCGTTGCTGGAAGAAGAATATCACTTGTGGATCTTTCATTGAGGAAGAAAGCAATTCCAATATATATATTTATTAATATAATAATAAATGCATACACAGGTAGAAGCCACAAGAAATATGAGTGCTAGGGCTACCCTCATGTGCTAGGGTTCTTCCAATATGGAAGCATTTTAGCCTCCCTAGCCCTCTTTTGTTTAATTTGCAGAAGCATATAGCATCATATGCGAGATCTCAGTCATGTATTGCAAAGCCGATAGCTTCGCTGCTTTAGTTTATGAGTTCCTTTTTTTTTTTCAATTTAAAAAATTCTGTTGTACTTGTGTTTACGCTCAGCTCAGAGGTTGGAATCCGTATACAAATCCATGTGATGACATGCAGTGTATGATTTCTCTCTCCTCGGCCTATTTCGTTCTTTTGTGTTATGAGCCATCGATTGGGCGGTAGGGTGTGGGTAATAAGTATTTCCATTAGTCATGATTTGCCAGTGAAGCATCTCTTTTTTAATGATCGTATAACATCAAGGATTTTTGCAGTTTCAGAATTGTTGCTTCCTTTAAGTACAGAGGGCAGTGTCTCGCTTTCTTTCTACAAAGCCAGTCATTCCCGGCCAAACCAGAATATGCTTTCCTTTAATCTCCTTTCAACTTAAGACCTCTGATGAGATTACCCCTTTTAAGAAAGCATCCTCTTTCTTTCTCTCCTCCACAAATGCAGATCTCAAATCACTGCAAAAAGAGCATTGAGATTAATCTGCTTCACCTTCACCATCATCCAAGCGCTTCTTTATTCATATCTAGTCCAGCTATATCTCCTTGAAAGCAGTGATGGAGCGCGGTTAATGGTGTTCATCGTGGCCAATGGTATCTGTTCCGGTCATGTCATTTTCACCTCTTTCTTTCTTTCTTTCTCTTTCCTCCTCGCTATGAGCTTACAATTTCTATCTTTTATCATCTTGCCTTGCAGTGTCAGCCAAAAAGTCATGCGTACCCAGAACAAGGCGCCATTGTGAGAGTGCTCGCTTTTAATTTACCCATGTCAGGCCCTGATGAGCTTGCTCCTAATTAACATGGACATTGAATTCCCACTGACTACTGAGCTAGCTAGCTAGCTGGATATAGGCGCCCCTTAAAAATAGGCCTCGCGCTGTAAAAGACAAAAACTTCCTCTTCTCACTTCCCTCTCATGCTTTTTCCTTCTGTTTTTTCCCTCCTCTACACTACGATTTATATTTCATCGGCTTATCGCATTGCTGGTTCCTGCGAGATGGCTGTGCGAAAGCTTTATTATTTCTCCTAGTAAATATTTCAATCATCATAATCTGAAGCTCATGTCTTGATCTGCTCTTACACATGGTAAATTAAATAGAGATGTCAAATTAACAAATGATGAAATTTGAAGAACTCTAATTATCACTAGCTAGCTATAAGAGATGTCAATGATGAAGGGTTTTTTGTAGCTTTTCATTTAGTAATATGTTTGATGGGACTAGATGACAGAAGAAGTTCTTGATGCTCTTCTCCTATATATGTGAATATGCAAGTCAGAAATAAAGAAACTGTTGTGCGTTTCTAGTTAAATTGGAGGCGATAGCTTTGTTTGCTTTTTATTGATAAAAAATGGGTATTGGCAGGTACATGTTCCATGCAGCAGTTTTCTTACCGTAGTGACGGTTCGATGTGGGCACTGTGCTAATTTACTGTCAGTCAACGTAGGAGCATCTCTCCAAACATTCCCTCCTCAAGAGCTTCAGGTATTTCACCGCTTCCTTATCGATCGATTCAGTAACCGCATATACATATACATATATATATTTATATGAGATTGTTTTCTTCACTGATATCTTTACTTCACTTGATTCGAACTCCTTACACTAGAATGCTCGGCCGCAGCTATAACATTTGAATGCCTTACTATGTATTTGTTCGATTGGATATTACTGAAGTTTGGTTGTTGGTTAGTTACAGAAACAGCACCTAGGCCTTGAAGAACCAAGCAACAGAGAAGAGGAATCATCTTCAAAATGCAGTAAACTTTCTGCATTTGAGTCTGCAGAGCACCAACAACATAGAATTCCTCCCATTCGTCGTAAGTGTCTCTCAACTGTTCTCTTCCTTTGTACTTAGCTTCTGGTATCCCATGATGAATGAAATTATATTGTTATTTCTGCCCGAAGTTTAAATGAACAATAATATTGTGAACCTCTCTCGTAATCCATTTAAAGAGTTTAAGACCCAAATGGAAAAACTCAGATGCAATACACAAGTGGCAGAAGTTAATATATGAGCAAGCACAACAACCTCATCATTGAGGACGCCACTTGTCATAAAACTAGTTTTTCATGAGAGAGGTCATTCATCTCTGAGCATCAAACTTTCCTTTGTACAACAATACCCATATCGGGCAGCCCATTTTAATTTATTTTCTTCAATTCATTTGGCCCCCTCTTAGATGGTGCCCTTACGTAACAAAATTGACCCATCCTAATTAATTGATAGCGCGGTGCTGTGCCCTAGAACATATCATACGCGAGCTTATCTAAATTCATTTTTCAGTTAATATTAACAGCTCAGGTAAAGTGATCATATAGTCCCATCTTTATCATAGAGCTTTCCAGAAAGGGCCTAGACTATCACGACAAAGATGGTTTGATAAACAGCAAGCGAGCTAGCAGGAGAGCAAATAAACGACCCTTAGATACATACAATGATTATCAAATGAATCGTCTTGGGAACACACAGTTTTCAATTACCAGTTCCACTATCCGTCAGTTCGTTTATATATGTGGATACTATTCTCTCCTCTATGTTGTTGAAAAATTAAAAGGAAAAAAGGGGATTTTCTCGTGTATGTGAGAAAAGTGATATTTGGCTAGAATTTTTATTATTCATGATCAATAATGGCATAACTATCTATATATGCATTTCATTTTCAGTTTAATAATTCTGAATTAAAATAATTAATCTCATGCATGAATATTGCAGCCCCTGAGAAGAGACAACGAGTTCCTTCTGCTTATAACAGGTTCATCAAGTATGTAATTAAGCTTTCTGATTACCATTTCATTTAAACATCAATTGTGCTGTTTATGATTTCGCAAGCTTCTTCTTATATTTGCGTCTTTTTTTGAAGGGAGGAAATCCAAAGGATTAAGGCTAGTAATCCAGATATCAGCCACAGGGAGGCATTCAGCACAGCCGCCAAAAACGTGAGTTCTAACTTGATAGCTAGCTGCTCCCATTTTCTTTCTAACTTTTACGAGACTGCATATTCCACTGTGACACTGACTATATGTTGAAAACTGTTTACTACATTAATCAGTGATTTAATTTAAAGGCCCGAACTGATTAACTTAGAAGATAAAATTTTGATAGGCAAACATTTCTTGCACATGTCAAAAGTGCAGAATAACTTGTATGAAAGTTGCCTGTTTGTGTGTCAGAGCGGGGTGATTACCAGTTTTTTCTTCTTTTTTTTTTGGGGGGGGGGGGGGGAGGTAGCTTTTGTCACGTTAAAAGTAGACAACTGCGTCCACCTAAAAATTCTTCTGGGGAAGGTGGCAGTTCAAATTCCGAGCCATTAATGTAAGAAATTTCCATATCCATGTCTAAGAGTAATTATACCTCATCGATAATCGATGATATGGACAAAAATGCATGTAGGGCTGATATATTACAACGCCATAGTTTGCGGATATAGGCCATATCAGGAGGAGAAGACAACTAAAAAATTCCCCCCAAAAAAAGAAAGCGTAGTTGGCCTGAAGAAGACATTACCACCGAACGTGGTCATAAAGATGTGAGTAAATGATATATGGGGACATTTCTTTAGACTTGGTCAGAAGAGTAATTTGGAAAATAGAGCTATATGTGATGTGATCAGTGGGTAAAAAGCCACCAAACCTGAATTTAACTTAATTTATGCTCAATAAATTATTTATACACTACTACCTCCGATCTCTAATATAAGAGCTCATTTGAATTTTATTTTGGTCCTAAATATAAGACCATAATCCCTTTTATCTCTCATATTTTTTTTTTCAAGGTAGTCCTTGTAATAATGATGGTTTTAGCTAATACTACTGGTTAGTGAGGATATTTTAGAAAAGATAATACTTATTTATTACAAATGACTAACTTAACTAGTTTTCTTAATCTACTTAAAACTAGTCAACTAGCTCTTATATTAAAGACCGAAAGTAGTATTATAATCATTAATCAAGACTGTTGCTCGATCGAAAGCCGCTTATCTCTTTTTTTTATCCTTTTTTCTCTTACATTTGATATGATATATAGCTTTACTTTGGTGATATTCATGATTCCTTTCAAATAAAATATTTTTATAATTTGAATTTCAATTCTCCGTTTGAATAACTCTGTTCTCTGTCTTTTCCAATGAGTCCTTTCCAATGATACCTTATATATATCGTGCTTCCCCAGGTCTTTTTTCTTTAATGATGAAATTTCATAAACATTTTGATAAAATTTCATAAAAATTTTCTTTTCTGACTGAAATCAAACCCAAAAAATAGAAAACGCACCATGAATCGTGTTTCCATGTTCATGCATGATTGTTTATTACATGTACTTATAAGTCAACTTCCCATCAATCCGATGGCTATACATCTTAAATTATAGTGAAGAATATGAAATGCTTTATACGATCAGTTGAATTTGTGAGTTCATTGCATGCTCTCCTTTGCACAATTAGGTTTAAAACCGGAGAGAGGATTTGATATTGATGATGAATTTATATATGACTAAAAAAGAGTGGCATCAAAACTAAGCAATGCTCAAGATATATCATAGCTAGTAAGCATCGTAGTTTGGTAGTGTATATCGTATAATATATAGTACATACCACCTAGTATCCTATTAAATATTTTAATGTATTGTGTTTGTGGGATTGGGGGGAAATTGTGTGGAACAATACATGCAGTGGGCACATTTTCCTCATATTCACTTTGGATTAAAGCCGGATGGCAACAAGCAAGCAAATTTGGACCCGCAGGAAGAGGGAAGTCAAAAATCTAATGGCCTTTATTGATGATGATGATGATATCAAGATGGAAGCATGTAAGTATCTGCTAGAATTTTATATGCTTGACCTGAACCAGTAAAAAGTGATGAGGTTGATCAAATTTCCCAGTCACATATATACACAACTGGATATGGTAGGCCTCTCTTCTGGAAACCCCGATCGATCCATCAGCCTCGCCCATGAATGTGTTTAAGAGCCAATTAAGTAACGTCTGAAATTTATTATGCGTATCTGTGTTGCGTTTTCAACTTGTTATGAACGATTTCTATTATTGTGATTGCGTTTATTGTATATGTTGAACTTAAGCGAGCAATACGTTCCTGAAACGATTCTCCTCGTCAGTAATAATATTTCCCTTTATCTTATCTCAATAATAATCTGTAGTCCTTTCTGCCAAGTAACGTCATCTCCCTCTCCCGCCCTCTCATCCTCGCATCGTGGCTCACAAGTTTCGTTGCACGGAAGTGTGTTCACTTACAGCATTATATTCTGACCGGCTGGCCAGCTTCTTCAACAAAAGTAATACTAATAACTAGAAAAGAAATACTATCTTTCTTAATATAAAAAGTAGTTGACTAATTTGAATAGATTAAGAAAATTAATTAAATTAGTTATTTGTAATAAATAATTATTGTCTTTTCTAAAATATTCTTGCTAATCAAGTATATTGACTAAAACTATTATTATTACAAGAACCACATTAGAAAAAAAAAGATAAATATGAAAGATAAAACAGATTAGAGTGTTATATATAGGACCAAAATAAAATTCAAACAAGCTCTTATAATAAAGTCAGGAAGTATTACTCCTACAGAGAAGTTTCTTATCTGGAGCAAAATGGCTGCGGATTAATCATATTATTCAAAGAGTAATGATGCAGAACAATACGAGCTAGCACCAGAAGCAACAAATCAATGTTTGCTGCAAATAACTTGGGATCAAATCACATTCAGATCAAGGAAAGAAAACCACAGTCTTCTCCGAAACCGTTATCCAACTCAGATTTGGGAGGAGTCTAAAACAATTAAGATTTACGTACATATACAATGCCCATCGAAAAACGCAAAATATGCTCACTGAACAACGCGCGCAGCAAATTAAATCAGTATTTCAACAACAGTATGTGTCTGCATGTGGACATATAAACTAAGTAATAACGTACGAGTGGCGGAGAGGACAGAGTAAAATAGTTAAAAATACTACTCCTCCGGTCCTTATTATAAGACCCCATTTGACTTTTTATTTGGTCCTAATTATAAGACCCCAATCCATTTTGTCTTTTATATTTATACATTTTTTTTCAAGATAATCCTTCTAATAATGATAGTTTTAGCCAATATACTTAATTAGCAAGGATATTTTAGGAATGACAACGTTTATTTATTATAAATAACCAACTTAACTCACTTCCTTAATCTCCTCAAATAAGTCAATTGGGTCTTATAATTAGGATCGGAGGAGTATTATGACCGTTCAGAGAAGGTGGTAACGTACTGGAAAAAGGGTTGGGTCACAGCGAAGTGACGCATGATGTGGTTGGGTACAGTGAGAGGGAGTGGGGTGGGTATAATGAATAATGATAAGGTCTCATTGAAGTGGGGAATGCATGTGTGAGTGTATATACTGTATACACACGTTGATGATTTTGTAGTGTATGTATATACAGGGGTTATGGTGTGAATCAGATGGGGTCGTGGCTGTCTCTATCTGTGATCGTCTTGGATCCTTGACTGGGAAGGAGACATGTGAGAGACATATTGCTTCACTTCTGCTACTCAGTACGTCTTGTACAACAACAAGACATCCCATACCCCCCGCTTTTTCTCTTCTTTGTTGGGCCATTTTCTAGACCCTCATTCATATGTCAACAATTTCCCTTGAGAGCCAGTTTTGTTTAGTGTAATTTAGAATATGTTTCTTTTTCCATGCGCCAACTCCAATTCATTTTGTTTTATAAATTTTCACGTAATTATATTTATGATGTCAATAATTATTTGAAGTTAAAAACCTAATTATGTGCGTGAAACTACTAATTACTACATACATACATGTAAAATATTAATTATTTTACACACGTTTTAAAAATGATTTATTCGCAACTTAGCTTGATTGTTTCGGTGTCTAAAGCTTTTAAAAAATTTTAAATTGACTCAATAAAAATATCATAAAAAAATAGGAAGTGGGGGAGGCGAGAGGGAAGGGGGGCTTGTGATTTGTCTGGAGCGAAGCGGATGAAAAAGTGCAGAATCTGAAATGTTAAATCAAACAGGTAGGATGCATCTAACATGCGTGGCTGTGATATGTGTTGGGGTTCTTGTCCTCTTCGATGCTCATTCGTAAGATCTGTCACTTCTCCCCTTTTACGTTTTTTTTTAAAAATAATTTTCCTTCCCCGTTCAGGTACCAACATAATTAATTAATCAGTCATTATAATAACGTCCCTTCCCGTTCGGACACAGTCACGTCGCTACCACTCTAACGGCGTTACAAGAAGCCACTGCCCACTGGCCATCAATTCCCCTTGAACCGAATACCAACATCCAGAAATAAATGCTGTACAAAACCATGCCTTACGCGCCCTCGCCCATTATTATTATTTTTTTGGTTGATCACATTTGTACGAAAAATTAACAGTTCTTTCAGTCAATGGCATCATCAGAATCAGTGGCAACATTTTACCCCCAGTTTCTTTTCTTCTTCTTTTTTTCTCAAGAAAAGAGTAAGGAGCTCCTTCATGCTGACCACTTTACTGCACAACATGTCAGGCTACTCATAGACCGATAGACCCGAAGGCCGAAAGAATTGCTTTGCTTGGGGACAAAAAAGCCCAGATATTTCTGCCATGAACAAAACCAGTAGATGGAGAAAATCTGAAATGAAAAACATGGAAAAGAGAAGGGACCTGGAAATTATTGACGAGAGAGAGATGTCACTGTCAGTTCCGTGTTGCTGATGCGTATGTGCAGAGGCTAAATAAGATAAGATGAAATGATGCTCAGATCTCCCACTGTTGATGAACAGCAAATTTTATGGAACATCTTCTCCAAGTGGAATCTTTCAAGTTGCCACACCATTTTTTAAACATCTAAATTGGAATTTTCGAGAGACTGCAGACGTATGGCGCGTTTTCATAAAACAAAATGAATTGTCCCATTGCAACATCAGATGGAGGATCAGTGAGGAAATTAAAAAAACACTTCTTTAAAACATAAATATAAAATATATTTAAAAAAAAAGATTGAAATTTCACCTTCCATCTTCTAGGGTATTGGTGTGAAAATAATAATGCTAGTAAAACCGAGGAGTAAGTGGCGGGACACTATGGTTTCAACAGAGAACCACAGAAAGTGAAAAGTCAGTGGTCCTGGGCTCTCGGTTAAGGCTGCTTAGTGGCAATCAAACGTGGGCCTTCCATATCTTACATCGAATTGGTAAACAAAGTAAAGTGGTCCATCTTCCTCTAAACTAACAATTGTCAGACATCACTGTACTACCTATAAAATCCACAGTTCTCTTCACATCTTCTATTTTCCCCCTATTAACCTTCTTAAGGGAAAAACAGAATACTGTCTGCAATTAATTATCTTTTTACCAGCAATCCCTGGTAACTTCCCATGAATTATTATTATTATTATTGCATCTTTCGGTTTTTTACCTCCCCTTAATTTATTGCGTATTTTACTATTGTTTTTTCATCCGTGTAAAATGCAGTAAAAAGCTCTCAACGCTTGAATAGGACACGACTTAGATTCAAGCTCATTATTCATATATAGTTGCCATGTTCACTATGAAGCAGCATGGACAACGACGAGTCATCCACTAGTTTAAAAATTAAACCCTGCTTTAGCAGATTTTATGAGATCCTTAAGATCCTCTCCCCCTAACCAAAAAATTGGACTCGCTTTCTCTGCTAGCATGAGCATATGAACAAAACAGTGCATGAGATATACATATGATATGCTTTACATGATTCCTAAACGGTCGATACATATAAACTTGAGAAAAGCGGAAAAAATCTCCCTTCTCATGGTTAACGGATTTTGATTGGCATCAATTCCTTTAATCTCTATCCACAGCCCGACCTCTTAAAAGAGCCAGATCTTCAGATGTTATCATGAACATACGCTGATTCCCATTTCCCATCCCAAATCATGATGATTACTCATACAGAGCTGGCAGAAACTTTAATTTCCAAAATTGGGAATCCTGATGGTGAGATGATACATCTAGATATGTTAACATGAGCAAATGCCTAGTTTAAGCATTTAATCACAAATGCGTGGTGATCCTAAAGGCAGCCTTAATTGTAGTAGCGAGACACGGTATCATAGAATCAGCCCCAGGATAGAGGCCTCTAATGGGCTCAAGAAACCAAACACATGCTCTGCAAGGATTAAGGTGATCGGTTTTTAAAGTTTCAGCTTGTACTCAGAGAAACCAATGTGGCAGCAGATAAGCTTGCAAAAGATGCCTTGATATTAGCCACAGTTTTAGGTTTATTGCCATGGTATTGGACTCTCTGAACATCCTTGTGTAGAAAGATATATTGGGATCTTTATTCCCTACTACTTTGTAATATGTGATTGACTTGAGCTTTGCCCTCTCTTGCTTTATATAAATATATATATATATATATATATATATAAAGTGACTGGCACTATAGCCTCTAGCAGCGCCCGCAGCATTACCAGCACTTGTCCATGAGGGTTGAGATACCATGTGGTTTAAGAAAATATGGCAAGTTTCTGCAGAATCCAAGATGCGCTGTCATAAACCAGTTATAAATCTGATGGCTTTAGATTTTCTGAGATTCTGTGTACAGCATGTATCCTCTTAATTAGCCAGCCGCACATGACCCTTTCAACAAGCCCAAAAAGTACTTGGAATGAGAATGAATCCAGCTCCTTAATAAATATAAGAAAGTGCAGAACTGCAGGTTAACTTCTATTATTGTTGCCTTTTCTAGCAAGATAGTCCATGAAGAAAGGGTGAATTTAAGCTCTCTATAAAAGCAGCCTACACGTGCATGTAACACTAGCCATCAGCTAAAGGACAGCTAAGTTTTCGGATGAATATTATTTAGGATGAATTTCCAAAAGCACCAAGTTATTAAGTCTCGTTCATGTTGTAGTTGAATCCAAAATCTACACCAAGCACATCACGAACAGGAATGATCAGCTCATAAGTTTATGAATTCTGCATATCCATAAAACATTCTCACATGACTGGTAACTTAATACGTAGTCACCACCCAGCCACTGTGGTCTGAAGCTCCCTATCAGTTCATTGAAAAGAGGGCGACAGGTGATCGTTGTGCTCCCCCTTCCTGTGATTTGAACCCGTAAAGCGTATTGCAGAAGTAGACGCTCGCCTTTTGAAATAATACAAGCAAAAGGC